GGCCGCCATGATGGGTGAGGGCAGCCTGCTGTAAACCTACACTGGACCGGGGTTCGGATTGGTCGGCCGAGCCGCGGCGCATGCGCTATGCGGGCAGAGCCGGTGGGCGGCGGGCCATGCAGACGTTCCGACATGAGCTTCGTAGCGCTTCTCGGGTGATTAGCCAGTCCGCTTCGCAGTGTAGGAAGCGCGGGTCGGCCTCGGCTTCCCGGCGCCAACCGAGGCGGACAGCCCTGGGCGGGGCGGGGCGGCGCGGCAGGTCAGGCAAGCCCGGCCCCTAGGGCAGAGCAGCTCTGCACTGGTTTTGGGGAGGGCATGGGGCAACCTGTATGGCGCCTGGCCTATCAGAGGCATGAACAGGCAGGCAAAAGAGGTAGGAGACAAACAGTCCAGGCAGGGAAGGGGAAGTAAGGAAAAGAAAGTGTCTTTGAAAGGACCTGTACTTAGCTGCAGGGAGGGGGCTTATACCACAAGGCCAAAAATGGAGAAAGGAGGCGAATCAAGAAGGAAACGATGGGAAAGTTAGGAGGAGGAGGAGGAGAACGACGACGTGGAGCTAGATGAAGCAAGCATGAAACACTGAAGATTCAGCTGAAGACAGCAGGAAGACAATGCGAAGATTCACGGAAAGGGGTGATGTTACATGGCACTTACGGGTCCTGTGGTTACAAGCATACTCTCACGCTTGTGAGCTGTTGCATGATCATTGCTCACACATACATCCAACTTAAATATATACTCCCAACCAGTCCCATCCCATTTATGAGTCCTTGTTGGATGACTTGAGCTATCATCCTAAGATTCAAAACTAACATTTAAAAGAAATTTAAATCCTCAGCTTTCCTACTGATGTTGTCAAAGGAGACAGATGCTGATGGGATAATTTTTTTCGTGAGGAACTAAAGCGAGACCATCAACTCTTCACCCACACAAACAAGCACTTGAAGTCAGTGGACAGACTGTAATCAACTTAGATGGGGATTGGACAGGAATTCCCATTAAATGTGAATGAAATTTAATGGCAGGAAAACAAATAGAAGCTCCTGGTCTTAAAAGTTACGTTCTCTGTCCCTTGCCCTTCCCCCTCCCACCACACTGTTGAAAGGAAGTTCCAGAAATTCACTGTAGTAGAAGTTTAAATTTCCAGGTTAAATTGACTCATGGCCCTTTCATACGCATTTATTCTTGTACCAGCATTGTCCTATACCATACATAGGTGCCCCCCTCCCCCCTCCATTTATACCCTTCTTGCTCTTACAGAGTAAGTATATCTCATTTCAGTCTTTGACTAGAATAAGTAAGCCAAGCTCTTTGAATCTCCATTTCCCAGATTAAATTTTGCCAGGTTCTTGTACAATAGCATTAGTTCTTCTCCATCTCTACTGAAAATACCTCACCTGATTCATGCTGGGATTGATTTCCCCTTTATCACAGGACTGATCCACTAATGTGATTTGCCTATAAGAAATGAATACAATCAAACGTATCCTTTCCTCTGGTTGCCAATTTACAGCAGCAGTTCTTGCTCTCAGTCCTTAAGTGCGGAGCTTTACCCTTTGCAGTATCTGAATTTCATTCTATTTCCAATACTTCAGTTTTCAAGGGTCCAGTCCTCCAGTCTCAAGAGTCCAACCCTTCTACCTAGATGATATTACCCAGTTGGGTTATCAACAATTTTCATTAGCACCAAGGTTATTAATAAATATATTACGGGTGCGGTAGCATCTTTGGAAGCACTTGTATTAAAAAAGTCCACTACTAACCCCCTCACCAACATCATCCACCGTCATCCCCCCTTTACCTGGTTCCACCAGTCCTTTGCAAATTGTACACATCTCCTTCCTCAGTTTAACAAGTAATTCTAACATGGTATATCAAAATGCTTAACTGAAGTCCAGATAGATGAGTTGGATCATATTCCCCATGTCTGGGAAGTCAGGGCAATCTGGTACTTTGTACATTGGGATAATATATTGTTGACATAAGCTTACCAATGCTGTGTTCCTTTTTGTCTGTTTCTTCAAAATTTGTCCAGCCTTGCCTATTAGCGAGGTCCGATTACTGGCTCTGCAGTTCTCTAAAAAACAAAAAAAATCACTCTTCCCCCTGACATTTCTTTAATGTACAGTAGTAACCAAATTTGCTGTTCTTCAAACACAGGGATTAAGGCTAGAAGGGGCCTTGAGTTCATAGTCTTTTCCCTTATACTAAATCAGAATAAAATCTAATCAGGATCATCTCTGACAGGTGCTTCTTTAACCTAAAGATCTGCAGGATCCCACAAACTCTCTTAGCAGCCTGTTGTAGAGCTTAATGCTTTACCATTTGAAACATTTTCCTACTAATTTAAATCTCTCACTGCAGATTAGATTGTTTACTTCTCACCTTCTCTATGCGACTAGAGAGCAACTAATCACCATACCTTTTATTAAAACCTATCACATATTAGAATATTTGCATTCCTCCTTGGTCTTCACTTTTCACCTAGTCAGCTATTTCCCATTTTATATCATGTAACTAACTGCTGCCCCCTACATGTAACAGTCTGCACTTGCCTTTAGTGAATTTCACTGATCCCTGGTTCTCCGATTTGTAAAAATATTTTTTACTCTAGTCCTGTGCTTCTAAATATTGAGAGTTTTGTGTTAGTCACAAATTAAGTGTACTTTTTATTCTGTCAACCAAATCACAAAAATTTGATATAATATTACACCTTAATTTGATAGGTATGATAAATTCCATGAAGGGCTCAGAATTCCATGTGCAAATTCTACAGCTTTTTCAGCTTCCCCAACTTGAACACATTAATCTGAATTTTGCTTCCAACTTGCATATAGTAATTTCCATTTTTACATACTTATTCCAATTGGCCAACCTGCCCATGACCCAGCTATACTTAGATTATAAGTGTGGACCATATTTAAGATTATAAGAACAAATTCTGTTGCATTTCAACTTCATCCTCACTACACAGCAGCCCCACTTTTTCCTCTTCCCCTCCCTCTATTTGAACAACTAAAAATCCCTTAAAAAATACCCCAAACAACCCTTTGCAGAGTCTTACACAGATGAATTTTGGCTGTTTTCATTTTATCTCGACACTTTCTGACCTCAAAACAGCTTCCTTTGCTGATAAATCCCTTTCCCATTCTGCTTACTACTCTCCTTTTTTAGATGGGTGTTCATTCCATTAAGTCCAGAGAAGGGATGTCAAACATCTGGCCTGCAGGTCCCATCTGGCCCATGGACCTTTGCTCTGACCACAGTGGCCTGCCTTCACACAGCAACACCAGAGGCAAAATTCTTGAGGCTCTGGCAGGGATTCTGCCTGCGGTGCTGCTAGGATTGTCAGTGCCCCTGCTCTTGCAAAAGCAATGGCTGCCACTGTGGAAAGACCAGCTACTGTGGTCAGGGCTGGGGCTGCGACCAGCGGAGGAGAATCTGCCCATACTAATATTGTCTCACCTTGTACCTTCATCCACAGTAGCCTTGCATCTTATTTTAACTTTGGCTTATTTTATCACCTGGCCAGGGGTACTCTGTGCTTGTCCTCCTACAGCTTCATTTGGCCACTTAAAATTAACAGTGTAAAACATTACATTTGTTCCTTATATCACATTTTTTTAAAAGACCAAAAAGTTGCTAAAATGTTTTGGTCACCAGACATTTTATTTTGCCCTTCTGCTAATTCACAGCAGCTACGTTCGATCCATTATTTTATTTTTAATTTCATTGCAAAAATGAAAATGTTCTTTTCCTCAAGTGTTTTAATGGCAATATAAAACTAACAGATGTAGACCTTCATCAAAAATTATTACAGTGCTTTTACTGATTACCAAGAAAAATGACTAGAGAATGTTTTTACATAGAGAAAGCTCTAAACCATTTATACTGAATAATCAGCTGCATTACCCAGTGGAAATTATTTTTAATATTTTATCCCAAACCAGACAGGGCTTCCAAGATGGGATTTTTTTCCCCCCAATGGTCTGACATGGAAATATATATTTTAGGGAGCAAGTTCACTAATAAAATGCCATACCTATAATACTTAAACAAGTTTGGTAGCTACCGTGAACTGCCTCCTCCACAATTTAAATCTAAGAATATGATGTTACTAGGAAGGACACACTAAAAGTAGCCAACAAGTTTGACAACAAACTTGTATTAATTTATTTTAGATATAATTTAAGTGGACCCTGAGAATTTAGTATCACAGTGAACATGTAGAAAGTACTTAGAAGTGTTTACTCTTGTATTTTTAACTACTTAGTAGTAGTCCTGGTTCATAACAGGTTGTTTGTGGCTCAAAACAATCTTTTGATTATTTCAAGTTTTCTGTGATGTGAGATTAAGAGAGTTCAATATCTCCAAACATCACTGAGAACAAAACAGAAAATGATCTAAAATTAACCCAGTGGATTGCTTTATATATTTCCCCCATTCTGCCCTATATGAAGCTTGCCTAATGCAAGACTAGTCTTAGTGAGCATCAAGTTTAGTAGCTTGCACGTTAAATTCATTTCCTCAGCAGCTGGATTTATGGAAACAGAATGGCCCTCATGAATTTAGAATTTAAGGGAAAGGCTAGCGTTGAAACCAGTGTGCAATAATTTATCCATAGTGTAAACTGATATAGTTGAAATGAATGAGCCCAAATGCATTGTTTATCTGAGGAAATCAAATGCACTATGTTAAGAATAGGGGGAAAAGCAGACAGAAATTTTGATAAACAACACTTAAAATTTATCATTGTGCAAAACTATAAAACTATGTTCCTTTATACACTGACGGGTGAAGACAGTTTAAACTAAAAACTAGTTATGTTCTTGTGAAGTGTCTGTTGAGTGCAAAGGCATTCAGTAGGTTTGCCTGTCATACAACACTTAACTGGATTCTAGTGCTTTATCATTGAGTGGTATAAACAGATTACAAAACATATTGCAATGCTTGTTATTTTGTGGTTTAAAGGAATGAACTAACTCATCGCTCATGTTTCATGAGTTATGCCATTCCCGTGTTAAGCAAGGAAAAAATTTATGTACTCTGCATATACACACTCCAATAATATATACATGTGCATTAAAAAAATAGAGAAGACCTGCCAGGTCTCAAAAGAGTATGTTCCTTTTTTTATTGGTCAAATAAAATGCATTACATTTGAAATATAAAAAATGTATCTGAAAAAATGTTCCTAGTACAGACTTCTAAAAACCCAGTATTTTAACAAGCCTGATCCCCACAAACGAAACA